GAATTCATGGAATAGTATCGTAGGTATATCAGCATAGGTAATGCAATGTAGATACAACTAAATCTATATATATATATATATATATATATATATATATATAGTGGTTGAGTTCAATAAGAACACTTTAAATTTCAAAATAAATTAAGTGATAGCTTTGTTATCTCTCTTAAAAGATACGGTAAACCTCCTATCTAAATTTTAAATTAGAATAATCACTTTGATATCTCTCATAGTTCCACATAGAAAATATGTAGATAATATAATGAATCCATAAATAAATATATATATAATATTTATTTCTGGGGTGTTCCAATATTTTTATTATTATTCCTTAATTAATGATTCATCTAATCATTCATACACTATTATTATTATTATTATTATTATTATTATTATTATTATTATTATTATTATTATTATTATTTTACGTTTCCTTCCATCTTATTATTAATATGAGTATGATATTTTGATTTTTTAAACATTTTAATTATTTTTTTATATTAGTTAATATCTTTTAAATAAAATTATGATTACTATTAATTTTATACTACGTTTTCTATGTTTCTTTGGCATCTTATTCCTACTATATAATAATTATATTTTGAATTTTTAAACATTTATTATTATTTTTTATATTAGTTAATAACTTTTTATTATATTATGATTACCATTAATTTTATACTATGTTTTCTACGTTTCATTGGCATCTTATTCCTATATAATAATTATTTGTTAAATGTTTCCTTTTACGATGATGGACACATTATTTTTAAATAAGTTAATGCCTTCTAAATTAAATTGTAGTTATTATAATTGTATACCATGTTTCCTTTTGTAAAGACTACCAAAGGACACTGTAGGTGTAAAATTTCTCTCAACAAAATATAATTAGAAGAAAAATACAACTCACTCAAGAAATAATGAATATAAACAATAACTGTATGTAAAGAAGTGAAGAATTGTTCAATCCTTTTATTGGAGGTCTCTGCCCCTATTTATATACAAAAAATGTGGTAGAATTAAGGCAGGACTCGCATTGCTTATCCTCCAATTCTTTCTATATAAGACATTCTTTACAAATAGAGTATTTTTCCTTTTACAATTCTTTCTATGTCAAAGTTGCATTTGTACAGAACTTGCCTTCTTTGTTGTTTCCTTCGTGTAGTAGGACTGATCTCCTTTCTAGATGGACTTGGGCCGATTGCATCCTGGTCCAATTGATATTGCTAATGGGACCGAACGTTACACATTATTAACATTCAGGCTACTGACGCTCCTCTATGGGCTTAGCCAAAGCTGGAAGTCCAGTAGAGATGTTCTTGGGTTTGGTGGAGACTTCAATTTGGGCCTGATCCAGGTGAGTGTGTGAATTTAATTAAAGATAGGTTTAAAGTGTGGTGACATGGTTACTTCTTACTGGAGGGGGATTTTCCCTCCACACTTTGCCCCCAATTCTTTTTTAATTGGGTTACGGCTCCTAATTAAAAGGGGATTGAAGTTGGGTAGTTGCCACTTTCGCACAAAGCATTTCCAATTATGTCTATTGCTATTCTGACTCAAGGACTTCTTCAAGACTCGCCTTTCGCCTCCACTACGCTCATTTCATTCTTCGTGTTCTTCCCTCCGTCATATCACCAAGTTAGTTTCTCATCTTTTTCTTTCAATCTTACATCATAAGCACTTCAACTACTCCTAAACGCGTAGTGATTATGGATTCTAACTCCATAATCCCAATGGTAAGTGCAATGCTTGCTCTTGTCCCTTTGTTCCAAGGGTTACTTCATTGGCTGAGGAGCTGCGAACCTCAGCTTGTTTTCTTGGAATAGCCGAGCCAGGGTAGTGCGGAGAGGAGTGAACTTTTCTTCTATCCTTTGCCTCTTCCCAGGTACCTGAATGACCGATGCCAAGGCATGCTAGTTCTTTTGACTTTTGGAGCTCGCCACTTTTTCCCGAGGCTTATTCTCCACAGTGACGAGGGTTGCATGTTGTGCTCGGTGAGCTACATTCTCCTCAAGCTGGATGTAAACCTGTGCCCTAGCATTGAGAGTCTGCATATCCGAAGGGGAATACTTAACTAAAGAGGTATGGAACTTAGGTCCTTAAATCATTCAGGATGACAGTCTGCTATTTCCGAAGCTTCCATGTTAAATCTAGATAGGAATTCCTGTAATGTCTCACCTCTCTTTTGCCTTATAATGAAGAGACTAGCTATGGTCTTTTTCTGCTTCTTGTTCCCGCAGTATTGTGCTAGGAACAAAGCGCATAAGGTTTCATAATCCAGGATGGATTTGTGGGGCCTATTTCTGAACCACTCTAACGTAGCTCCTGTTAAACTGGTTGGGAAAACTTTACACATGAACAAATCGTTATGATCGTCTAGAGCCATCTTCTGTACGTAATGGTTGAGATAATGAAAAGGATCTCCTGTACCATCAAATTGAGTGAAGTATGGCATGGAGAATTTCTTTGGCCTCTCAATAAAATATATGTCATCAGTGAATGGAGTTCTTACCAAAGAGTTCTTATGCTCTTTGGCCATCTCCGCAGGGGTCTGAATCCTCAGGAGCCTCTTCTCGTCAAAGGCATCTTGGATGCCAGCTTCGTTCAGAATGCCATTAGTCCATACTCTAAGTTTATGGTTGGACTCAACCTGTTCGTCTTGTGTACGGCGAGGATGACTGCCCGAAGTAACAACCTCGGTCCTTGCCTTTTGCTCTTGCCGAACTTCATTAGGTCGAGCCTCATTGGTCCGTGACCCACTGGCCTGAGGCTCGTTAACCGGAGGAATGTTTTGGTTGGGGGGAGGTGCTGCCGTATCGCTTTGCGGGGGTTGCGGTGCCAACTGAGCCATCGTCGTTCGAAGGGTGTCGTTTTGCTGCTGGAGTAATGTAATCTGGGCTACACTAGCCTCGTTCGCTTGACGAAGCGTTTCGAATTTGTGCAAGAATTCCTCTTGCATCTTTTGCATCAACTTCATATGCTAACCATCCACTGTTGAAGGTTCTCCGTTTGACATTCCGGATCGTAGCAAAAGAACTAAGCTGAAACAATAGTTTGAGTATATTTCTATACGGTTCGTACTAGCCTGCCTATCGAGCTATATTGCGACAATAGTGCAGAAGTAGTCCAAACCAATGACTCAAGGTTCCATAGATGGACAAAATACACTGAGAGGAAGTATCATGTTCTACATGATATTGTCCGGCAAGAAAATGTACTTATGGTTAGAACATTGCATTGGAACATAACTTTGTTGATCTATTAACAAAGGTGTCATTGGTCAATAATTTTGATTAACACCTGGATAACATTGAAATTAGATGCAATTTGAATTGGCTATGAGAACAAGTGGGAGCTGATGGGATTTATATGCCCTAGCATAGCAAATTCCCATTTGGATTAAAGTGACATATGTTCCTGACGTTTCTGAAATATTTATGTTTTGCACAATTGGTGAATTCAATGTATTATGTTTCGATTCATTATAGAATTGATGGTGTCCTCTTGATTACAAGAGATATTTATATATGTATGTGATGGCGATCAATACATGAATATAAATAGTAATCATAAATTGTTCATAGTCGGTAATTATGGATGGAATCATAATTAATTAAGACTTGAAATGGATCCGCGTTAGGTCGAGATATATTGTGAGAGCCGTCGTATGCAATTACTCCCTATCACCGTCATGGCATTTGACTCTTAAGCATGAGAAAAGTATAGACTCTTTTATTAATTAATAATTACTTTGATTTGTTCGGCGGATTCTTCGGAATCTTTAGATCGACACTTTGGGTAGTTATGTAATTAATAGTTAGAGTGTTATATTTTCAATATTTGCATCATTGCTACTTGTATTTATTTTGTATTGATTATGGTTGATTACAAAGTAAATTCGAAGGCCTTCGTGTGTTTTTAGACAAAATGATTTATTATATATTTATTTATTTAAATTATTATTTTTGTCAAACAAATGTTTTATTGTGATCAAATCAGAAATAATCAAAGGTACCAAAATAAATATATTAATTAAGTAGTCGGATTGATGGCTTTATTTATCCGGTAACTAATTATGTATAGAGGGGTCAAAGTGCAATATTGACTTAGAGGTTATTTATTATTTAATTGGAGTTCGATTAATTTCTTTTAGTGGAGTAGAAATTAATTTATGAATTAATTAAATTGGGTCCATGGACCGGACTAATTATTAATTCATTGTAGCCAATAAAATAATAGGCCCAATGGATTCTCACTCATAGCCCAACTTAATATTGGAATCATATTAGATTTGAGACATGTGAATTAGAGATTGAGAAGGATTTGTTGTTTCCTTTTCTTTATCTTTATGTTGCCTATAAATATACATGGTCTATGTATATTTTAGGTGTGATTTTTAGGAAAAGAAAAGGAATATATTTTCTCTCTCTAGAAAATTAGGGTTTATGTTCTCATCTAATGGAGGCTCCCACAAGCCTAATTTTCGAAGGTCATTCATGGAGGCATATGAGTGATTCTTAAAAGCAAAACAATTACCAAGAAGATAGAGATCCAAGGAGAAGGCATCTTGCTAAGGGATTTACAATAAGTGAGAACATTCACTTTAGAGGAAAGTTTTAAAGGTTTACTCAGACCTTTGATGTAAGTATTCAATCTGTTAATATGAATGATACATCATATTTTATTTTTGCATAAAACTTGTCTTTATGTGATGAATCAAGATCTATGAATCAAAATCACTCGAAAAGTTTTTAAAATTAGTACGTTTCCCAACAGTTTGGACAAATTAAAAAAATCCATCTTGTTTGTGCTGGATTGAGCCACATCAGACCATTTTTTTTCTGATAATTGACCAAGCAGTTTGAATTTAAATTTGAATCCGGAATGACTACTGGGCTAGCCGTGGTGGTGGTGGTCAATGGAGGTGTGTGGTGGTGGAGGGATAGGAATGGGGATGGGGTAGGTTTGGGTGAGAGATCTGCTTGAGATGGATTAGGAATATGGTTAGGCTCTCTACCCTCGACAGAAGTAGCATGAGGGATGTGCCTCTCCCAAGGGTGTGCCATTACTGCAACTTGGTCGATGAGTCACACGATCACTTATTCTTTAGCTGCTCCTTCATCAGACCCTTATGGATCCACCTTCAAGACACATGCAAGTTCCGTTCCCCTGCTTCATCGTGGAGTGGATTTGTGAATTGGGCATCGCATCAATGGGCGAGACGTAATTTGCGTATGGCGGTGAACAAACTCATGCTATCCACAACCATCAATAAGATATGGATGGAGCGAAATAATCGAGCCTTCAAGAATCGAAGATGCTCACAAATGGAGTTACTCAGGCGAATCACTGACTTGATCAGACAGAAGCTACTTACTTTGCAGGTACGAGACTCTGTTGATGCAAGACGTCTGATCCTTGAATGGAACCTACCTGTATCGTTCATCAGACCACCACTGGAGCCACCAGATTGTTTCAATTAAGGCTGTTGCCCTAATTTGCCTCTCATCGGAATGAATCAACGCTCAGGCATGGGTAGTCTAGAATGCCATGGAACCTAGACTAGATATGTCTTCGCTGTGGGGATGGGCCCTGTTTAGAACTGGGCTTTGTATTTTGCGTTTTGTTTTGTGTTCCTATGCTCTCGTCTACTATTCGTGGACTGGGTCATGCTGGGGTATTTGTACATTCTATTTTTTAGCAATATAAAACTTCCCAAAAAAAAAAAAAAACTCTCACCTTAGTATATATATAAGGTAACTTTTATACCCCATCGGTTGTGTACAAAAATGTTGTCATTTTATCACTCTATAAATAGAGCATCATTTTTACCCACCTGTTGATGTAGCTGCTTAGAGTTTTACAATACATTAGTAACAAATTGAATCCAATGGCGGCTGCTTATTCAAGAGTTTTGATGATGAGGAAGATTTCTCCACCCAGTCCATGTTTCCTTAAGCTGCCAGCTGGCATCACAGCTCGCAAGCCTCTGTACATTAAGAGAGGTAAATTGTTCTCTGTTTTAATTTTTTTTTTTTTTTTTTTAATTCTTTCTTTGTTTTGTTTTTTGCTTTTTGCTTTTCTTTCTTTTTAAATTCTTTTTAAAATTTTTATTTTTATTTTTCGTTTTCTTTCTTTAGTTCTTTCTTCTTCTTATTTTTTATTTAATTCTATTTTTTCCTTTCAAATACTTTCTTGCCATCTGGGCTTCAATTTGAAGCCAATGTTTCTGATATCCCCAAAGACACAAGTAAAAAGTAAAGTTTGCTTTATATATACATTCTGGTTCAAAGTTCATTAATACCCATATTTTGAGTTAGGTACATTTGTTTTAATTCTGTGTCGAGCTTTCTTTTCATTGTTCTTAGTATGGTATGCTGACGAAATAAGAGGTTCAAATATGTGTAGGAGTGTAGATTGATACCCATATTGGGGTTGATTTTGAGTTTGTATATTCTGTGTGCTCTCTCATGAGCAAAAAATGTATAAAGCTTGCTTTTTTCCTCCTTGTGTCACTTCTTTTCTGGCTTCAGTGTTGATACCCATATTTTGAGTTTGGAACTCTGTGTCTCTTTGTTAGACATGTTATATATGAGTAAAAGTGTGATAAACATTCAATTCTCTGGCTTCTATCTTATATATAACCTGTAGCTTGAATTATGGGTTTGTATAGTCTCTCTGTTGGTTGAATTCTCTGGCTGAGAAAGCCCTCTCCTCCTAAATCAAAGAAAGACACCCAGTGACCACAGGAGATTGAGCTTCACGAGTCCATGTATATATATATATATATATATATATATATATATATGTATATACAATCTTACCTTGAATTATGGGGAGTGTGGATTCAGGTCCAAAGGGAGGAGAATGTGTGAGGAGAAATAGCATAGAATGGGAGAAGTTACAGATATTTCGGGCGAGACTGAGCACTGAAACAGCAAAGTTGGAGTTAGCCCGAGGTCTTGCCGCACTTACCACTGTGGGTCTGGTATTTTTGAGTGTTCGGTATCTGGCACCCGAAGCCATATCTGAGGTTTGTCCCATAATAATTACTAGATACACAATAGTAGTAAATACAAGATTATGAGCTGACTTCACTTGATGTGTTTGCAGTCCTTTCCCGAGGATACAAGCAAGAAGCCGAGTTCTCCGAAGCCTGATGAGTCCCCATGAGGAGGCAGATTTCTTCAGGATGTGCAGTCCCCATTAGGAGGCCTCTAGAGCCTTTTTATTTTATTTTTTTTAATTGAAAAATTCAGATAAAAGACCGTTGAATTGAGAGATGTCAAGGTAGGTTTTTTTTTTTTTTTTAAATGTAAAAAAGTAGGTCATCGCAACTCTGTATTAGACTCAAATCAATGTGGTAACGATATGCACCGTATCCTCACGGTATCTTATTGCGCATCATAATGAAGTGATCTGTGCACATGGGTTGTTGTTGTCAAGATAAGAGTGCATGTTTGGTAGTCTTGTCAACACAAACACTTGAACGTTGAATTCGCCTCACCTCTCAATCCAGGCTAATAACCAAAAAAATAAATAAATAAATAAATAGAGATCTTGTTATTAGAATTATTTAATACTGTGTTTGGGAGTATTAAAGTGGTGACTTTGAACCTAAAAAAATAAAAATAAAAAAAGGTTTAGAGTTTGCAATGAATTTTGTTTTGAACTTATTTTCCTATAATCTCAATTTTAAAGTGTCAATTCTAAAGTGTTAGTTTTTCTTTTGAGCTAATTATCCTTTTTTTTTTTTTTTTTTTTTTTTAGGCCACCCTCCCTTTGCTCCTAGTTAAATTAACAATAGGTCTGTCGTGTCATAGAAGGTGTTAAATTTACAATTCTTCTCAATGAATGTCGCTTACTCTGTTGGGATTAGATTAATAGCAGAAAAGTGTGGACTTGTCAACCGGTTGAATTCGGATCGGATCTGAGAAGCATTTTATCTGTTTTGATAATGCGGATTTTTGTTAGTGAATAATCTCCGATTTGTTAATAAATGGATATCCAATCCTATTCAATAAAAGTGTAATTTTGTAAATTTAAAAAAAAAAAACAAAGGATAAATAAAATATGAAAGGAAAAAAAATTATTTATTATTTGTTAATAAATAAATATTATGACATTATTAATATATATATTAAGAGATTTATTAATATGTAGGTGAGAAATTTATGGTTAATTTTTTTTTTTTTGTTACATTAAATATAAATTTAGAGTATTATATAAACGAATCGAATCAATATAAATTTATATTCAATTTTATATTCAATTTTATATTCAATTTGTTAAGAAATTAAATTGTCAGATTCGAGTCATAATTATAAAATTAAAATTTTTTTTTTCGGGTTCGGTCTAGAGAAGTAAGGTGGCAGTAGTGATGAGATACGGCTACAGTTGGAGGAATGAGAGAGAGATGACCTCATTGAAAGCGGTGCCTTCATTACATTACACAAGAGGAGAGAGAGATGACCTCATTGAAAGCAGTGCCGCCTTCATTACATTACAATATTACAGGACATACGAACTTTTAAAAAGAGAAACTAAATAAAAAATGAAAGAGAGAGAGGAGATGATGCAAAACCGCGTAGAGTATGGAATGAGCTGCTGAGTGTGGCAGTGCTTGCTCACACTGAACTGTATATAATTATCATGTAATTATCACAAGGATTGAAACAACTTCAATTGGATTACCATTTTATTAGTAATTTTTTTATTAATAAAAGCTCATTAATTATACACCGTTTAAGATGTTTAATGCGATTCTAATCTACGGTTAGTCAAATTCCAATAATGTGGTTAGACAAATCATTTTAAAAATACAATGTTTAAATTGTATCTAGGGTAAAGTGCAATAAACCCCCCTCAATTATACCTCAAGTGCAACTAACCCCCCTCAACTATGGTCTTGGTGTAGTCATAGGACAGAGAAAATTTTCTAGTCATCTCCTATCACCGGAAATTAAAAAAGTCTATTTTATCCCTCATAAAAGGGTGCCACATCACAATAAAACGCCACCATTTTACTCAGCAACTTAAATGAAATTAAATTTAATTTCAGTCCAGTGGCAACAACGGGAAAGGTTTATTTGTTGGAGAACCAGATCTGGACGTGCCGAGTACGACCTAAGAGCCATCACCGGAGGTGCCATATTTAATAATAAGGAATCGCTGGAATTGGAGAAAGAGTGATTCAAACTGTTGAAATCATTGGTGGATCTGAGTGTGCTCTATCGCCTGTACCACCAATTCCCAAAATTGGAGCTACCACAACGGAGCCACCGTGGTCGGTGGTGCTTGTGGATTTGCAGGAGACCGATGTCCGACTCGTCCACAGTTTGATGGTCTGCGCCTAGGCGATCCAAAAAGACAAATCTCAAGCTCGCCGACGCGTTGGTAAAGCTTGTTAGTAATGTCGCAAGCCGCTGCGATGAGAAAGCTCGCAAACTACTTCGCTCAAGCCGTAGCTCGGAGAATCTACAAAATCTACCCTTAGAGACAACTCTTACTCAGATATGTTTCAAAAAATTTAGCACAAAAACAACCAATCGTGTCCAGCCACCGACCACAATTAATTCCTAATCGCAAAAGTCCCAACCCATCTCACCACTGACACAACAAACCACAAGCCTCACATAGCATCAGTGCCTTCGTCGGAATCGTGTCATCATCCTCGTCGCTTGGATCTTCTCTTCCCATTGTACTTGTCGGAATTGCATAAGAGCAGTCGTGGTGGAGATGATACATGGTTTATATATATATATATATAATTTTGATATATATATATATATCAAAATTATAGTCTTTTAATCTCACAAGGGTTTTCTGGTCATTTAATGAGAAATAATGTATCATGTGTAATACCCCGATAATTTTAAAAGATTTATTAATTAGGATTAATTATTTTATTTTATTTTTCAATGATTTATTTTATTTTATTGAGTGCTAGATTAATTATCTTATTTTAATTAAGTTATATTTCGTGATTATGTATGATGATTGATTGTTTGTGTGGTTGATTATTGATTGAATTATTGGTGTGTTGATTTTATTGGTATTATATGACTTAGTTGTAAATTCTTGTTTGTTTATGTGCTTCATGTAATTAGTTATTTTAATTTCGGTATTTAATTAATTATCTTATTTATTTAAATTAATTGGATTGGGCTTAAGGAAAGTTGGACCAAAAGATGTGGTCTTGGGCTTGTATGAAACCTTATTGGGTTAATTAATGAAGGTCCGTGGTTATTTAATTATTTAAATGATCACTTTTGTATCAATTATATATATATATATATATATATATATATATAATTATATATAAATATAATTAATTAATAATTGTTATGGAAAGATATATATATAGATATATATTTATTGATATTTATAAGTATATATGATTTAATTAACTAATGAGTTAATTATGGAAGGAATATATATTTATATATATATATATGTTTATAGATATAAATTATTTAAAGAT